TTGTATTGCAACAATTTATATGTACCTTTGGCTTTTATTATTGTCTGGTTTCTATGACCTGGTACGATTGAACATTGCTTACTCATCCTTTACGCTTTAATGTTAATCTCTTAATATCCCTATGAACTCACATGACGTGTCTCGCTTACTTTTTGACCTTGTCAATCATTCGTCGCTTTTATTCATGTGTGTACATGCCTATTTCGCTTGTCATATGTCTATCTTATTTTTTGTCTGACCATATATTCCTAGTCATGCTCTATCTCTTGGTGTTGGTTCAACAGCCTTCTTCAATTCACGTCGCTTCATTCGTTTTATTCACTGCTTCTCCGCTTCGCTTTGTGGTGTATCCCAAATAAACGTATTCAACACTACGAGTTCACCTTCTGATTTATAAAACGTAAGACGCTACTTTGTAACGATTGTCTGGACGAGCTAATTACCGAGCTTAAGAACACCCAGTAGTAAGTCGGCACACTACAAAACTAAAACTTAATGACGACATTCAAATGTCAAACAGATAATATCATCAATGACATTGAAATTGTAATTTATGACCATTTGGATTTCTTCATTTCAATGGTAACACATTCACAGCATAACTTGAAGTTTTTAAAACGGATTCCTACGTCTGAGTAATATTATCGGCATATCTCAAATGGATATGGAAAATTACGATTTATTTCTCTTAGTGACTCTTAGTCAGTTAAAAACGAAAACATTACATTGAACACTCTATTTGCACACCATCTTTGAGTCGTGACTTCCAGCACTCCAGCCATCTTCCATTCCTGCTGTTGCTTCCTTTACTTCCTGTCGGTACTCCATTTACTTCTTGCTTTTTCTCCATTTGCTTTCCGTTTTCCTCTTCTGACCGTGAGACTCCTTCTTTCACATCCTTTCTTATACTACTTATATCGTTCGTATAAGTAGCACACACCACACTAGTACTATTAGTTTAATGTTTAAAAATAGGTTTAAATCTTTTAGTTGTTTAAACTGTATCAGCATACTAAATTGTTTGAAACATTTTTTTCTTACCTTACAGTGTGATTGTTTCATGAATACTAGGAAATGGGTCAAGTGACAGTTTGTTTTCACACCTTCATTAGTACGCTTCTAATAGTAAGTTTCGTTTTGTTTCTTGTATCAACCTACTTCAACTTTAAATCAAATGCCTCATACAAATATGATGATGATGTTTCGTTTGTTCATTGACTTGATCACTGTTTCGCAAAAATACTTGTATAAACATTTAAACAATTCAACAATGAATAGTGTGTTTGAACGAGGAGTAAATCGCTAAATTTCACCATTAATTTCTCAATCAATAAAAATTATACAGAGTAGTTTCTAGGTTTTTTTTGATCATGTACATAGTATTACATATTTCGACATTTTTATTGATTGATACTGAATCATTTTAAGAATTTCAAAGATTCCCATTGTGAAAATTAGAACAACACATATAAGCGAACAATATTGTTTTCGATTAGATCGTCATCAGGCTTTACTCTAATAATATACATGAATATTTATATGAAAATGTTAAACCAATAAAGGCAATTCGAGTGATAAAACATAACAGAATAAATGTCACTCACTATTAAACCATTTCAGCTTGAATCAACCCTCATTGATTGATTGATGATCAGGTTTATATTCTTCACATTGAAAACTTTTCACCAATAAGTTTATTTTAAGTGAAAAAAAACTAATGACCAATTAGGTTAAAGGAAAAAAACTGGAGTCTTTGCAGAAGATGACTTATATCATACTGTAGTGAATGAGAACACAGGTGGAGGCAACCGAATTGTATTTAACGAAAATTACAGAGTTACTCAGTAAAATCGGAAAACCATATCGTAAATCGTTCATTTGCAAAGGATCAGTTCATCCTATGGAACTGGACTGTTTCTGTTGCCAAACATCAATCCATTGTCACTCTTCATGCGTTTCAAACAAATTTCATTGTTTTCTGACTCTTCCTTTCTTGATCTTCCCCCCCATATTATGCTACCAGACTTTACGTTGACACTCACGCTATATACTACTTATAAGTAGTTCGCACCACAGCACCACAATACCAGGAAGAAATACTTGTCGAACATCCTTGATTTTCGACTGTACATTAGCTGAGATACGAATACAACCTGTTAACCAGGATTTAGCTCGAAGGCAATTGGCATTTATCGGATAGTTTTTAGCGAACGAATGGAATCTCTGTCACTGGAATAGTTTTTGCTCCATCTTACCAAAATTTATGATGGCAATGAATGTTTATACTAATCGTTACTTTTGTATTTTTTTGTTTTCTACTGTTTCCAGTGTATTTTATCAGTTTTTGCAGCTTTAATTGGTATAATCAAATGGTGTGATGTGACACTGCTATTTCTCATGAAATTATTATTGTTACCAATAGTGAAACAGGTGAATAGTCAAGCTGATGACAGTACCATTCAACGATTGATAGTTATTATACGTTCAGCAACAGGTAAGTATATATTGTCACATAAATTCTATGCTATTCTATTGCTTGTTGTTTTCAAACAAAAAAATTAAATTTAATCGAAATTTCTCGTGAACTGAATAGTTAATTTTGCCAAAAAAATACAGCTATCTTATATTGAGAAGACTGAGGCAGGCGCGGAAGAATGTATTGTACAAATTTACACTCTTAGTCAATTAAAAACGAAAACATTACATTGAATACTCTATTTGCACACCACCTTTGAGTCGTGACTTCCAACACTCCAGCCTTCTTCCATTCCTGTTGTTGTTGCTTCCTTTCCTTCCTGTTGGTACTCCATTTACTTCTTGCTTTTGCTCCATTTGCTTTCCGTTTTCCTCTTCTGACACTAGAACATATATATATGTATAGTGATTATTTCCGATCCACGATCACGTGGTCAATCAATATGCACCGCATGAACAGGCCAATTTCGACTCATCCCGCTTACATGACTGTTAAACTCATTATTATTATTATTATTATTATTATTATTATTATTATTATTAGCAATGGTGATATGCAATATAGTATCCGAATGACAATGGTCCTCAGGAATGTTGCAAAACAACCACTAGTATCAATGAAATCGGTTGCCCTGCTAACCAATTTTGTATAAAGGACTGTTAGCAATGCTTGCCAAAGCTATGCCAAGCTATCCACAATGTTCACAGTGAATCTTTTGGTCTCATAGGAAATTTGCAGCTCTTTAGAGCAGCAGTATAGCATAGTTATTTATAAATGTAAAAAAAGGTCAGAGTAATCATGTGAAAATCATGTAGAGGAGTTGTAGATTGATTTCATACTGAAACAGACTGAAATCATCTTTTCAAAAAAATCAATCATAAAAGATTGACTTTGATTGAATAAAACACATTCGATATAATTAGTTTAGTCAGTTTATTCATACCTTTAAAGGACACTAAAACGTCAAAATGTCAGCTAGTTATTGATTGATATACTCGAATTATCCCATAGGCATATTTAAATGATTTATATAATAAAATGACAAGATTTAGTTGTGAGATTTATTTTCCATGCCGTGTAACTATTTTCGGGCACAATACCGAAAGTCTCGGGTTCGAACCCTGAGAGGCGCAGGAGTCTTGGATGCGCACTACCACTGATGAGTCCCATCCAAGGACGAAACGGCCGTCTGTCAGCGCTTCCAGGTTTCTAATGGTGGTCCAACAATCATTGGTTGATGATTTCAAATGTATAAAAACACTTATCTCCATAACTCTAATTGAAAATATCGTAAAGTGTTGTGACTAGCTTCGTGAGGAAATTCTCGGTGTTCTATTGAGAAGACGTGACCAGTGGAGTTCAACTTTGTTGGGTGTAGGCAGTAAGTACCAAAGACAAATGGGTGAGGTCGCGCAAAACCCCTAGATCAATCAGAGTTAGATATTAACACCGTTAGATGCTGGCCCAGTGGTTCGATGGTTAGGCGTTCGCTCACAATAACGAAGGTCCTGGGTTCGAATCCTGTGAGGAGCAGGAGTCGTGTATGCGCACTGCTGATGAGTCCCATACCAGGACTTGACGACCGTCTCTCAGTGCTTCCAGGTTTCTAATGATGGTCTAACAATGATCGACTGATGATTTCAAATATGTAAAAAAATTCAAAATCACTTCAACTTAAGAAGGATAGTCAAAATTGTAATGATGCTTAGTTGGTCGTGGAACTTTTATTACTCTTCTCAACATAACATCATCAGCACAAACTTCAGGTAGCAGTTCTGAAGTCTGACCATCATTTCATGGTTGAAATTCAAACTTTTAAATGCAAAATTCGATGTGTTGTTGTTATTTATCCAGTTTTGAAATCTGTATACTCATTTTATAAGTTGCAGAAAACAAAACCATTCAGTGTTCACTTGCTCTGTTTATTATTTGCTTTTAGATCATTTAACATTGGCAGTTTTCGTTGTTTCTGTAATATTTTTGGCAATTTTATGTTTTGGTATGATTGGGATTTGCTTTCGTAATAGAGTTGTTATCTTCATCGTAAGTGAACTGGTCGCTTTTTCTAAACTTCTAAACATGATATTTATTGGCAAATATTTTTTTAAACTGGTCAACAAACATAAATCGATTTTCAATGAATTTCATCTTAAGAATCACAATATAAATTATGATAGTACATGTTAATTACAAGCTGATAATTTGTGGGTGTTACGTTCCACTGGCTAAATGCTGGCTGATCTGTAACATCCGTTAACGACATCTAGAGAGATTGTTATTGAAAGATATTACCAGATGAATTGAAGAAAATGGTCAGATTAACTAACATAAGCAAGAAGTCTTGATAAGGAGTAGAGAATGTATTCTACAAGCATCTCAGAAAATACTAGGTTCCTGAGCACACAAATCAGGTTGATTTATACAAAACAGCGACTCTGATTTCTTGTTATTGCGTGTATTGTATCTTTATTCCGATACGTCGTATAATCACAATGAGAATACTGTTGTAAATGAATTTTCATCTATGGCTATACAATCAAACGATCCAAATGGTGGCGGTGCCAAAATTTATGTGCCTCCACATTTACGAAATCGTGAAGCATCAAATGGTTTTCCTGATTCTGCGAACGATGTTAGTCAATTTAATCGCCCTTTCCGTGGCACTAGTGATAAATTTCGTGGACGTCCTTTTCGTGGTTCTTATAGTAACAGGGGGGTCGAAAGTTGGAAACGAATGACAACAATCCGAACCTCGCTGGTCAAGCTTCAGTGACAATCAGTCACGGGGTGGTCATTCTGCTTTGGGATCAAATGTTCCTAGACGCAGTTGGAATTCATCCACCGAAGACTGGACTCAACAGTTACCACGAAACGAACGTACAGAACAGGAGCTTTTCAAGAAAGTGAGCGCGGGGATAAACTTCAATCAATACGACAACATTTCTGTAACTTCAACAGGGCCAAATTTCAACGATAGTGCATCAACCATATCTTCGTTTACTGAGCTTTCGCTTCATAAAATCGTACGTGATAGCGTTGAACTAGCCAGTTACGAACGTCCTACACCAGTACAAAAACATGCTATACCGATCATTGCATCAGGTCGTGACCTAATGGCCTGTGCACAAACTGGTTCCGGAAAGACTGCTGCATTCCTTATTCCAATTCTAAATAACATGATTAAGCAAGGTCCTGGTGACTCAATATGCGCCTCAATTAGTAGGAACCGATGAAAGCAATTCCCTGTAGCGCTTATATTGGCTCCAACGCGCGAATTGGCATCGTAAATTTTTGATGATGCCCGAAAATTTTCCTACAGATCTCTTATCAAACCTTGTGTTCTTTACGGTGGTGCTGATATGAGAACGCAGTTAATGGAGTTGTCTAAGGACTGTAACCTGTTAGTTGCAACTCCAGGTCGACTAAGTGACGTTTTAGAACGAGGTCGGATCGGTTTAGACTACTGTCGATTCCTCGTCAACCAATGTCAGTCAAGCATTTTCCGAGTGGGAAATGTAAGTTAAAGGTAAACTATGCGTTTTATGCACGAAAACATCAAAAAAAAATTCAAAATTTCAGCAGAAAATCACAAAATTAGGACCTTTTCTAAGTGAGTTCTGGAAGTTTAATGTCCCCAAAAAACTCCTCCTCTTTTTAATAGCATACATTCTTGAGGTCAACTTGCATCATTGGTTTTCGTTCCATTTACCCACCAGTAAACTGAACTCGTTATAGTTTCAAACATATCAGATTTCTCTATCCTTTATCATGACATCAGCATTGCGATACAGATAAATTCACTCAACGATTCTCTCTTCTTGTAACTTATTTTAATTCACAATGAAAATATTCTACAATTTTCTTCCAAAACTATAAAACAAAACCATATTATCAGCCACAAACATTGAAAGATCTATGAACGAATTGAATTCACTTTGCAAATTCATTCTCAATTATGAGTATCGGTTAGCTTGATACTGGTCATTCAAAGCTCTTCCAGTGAATTTAAATGTAATCCATTTGTAGTGAAGGAGAACACAGGTGAGGGAAAATTACAGAGTTACTCAGCAAAATCGGAAAACCATATCGTAAATCGTTAATTTGCAAAATATCAGTTCATCATATCGAACTGGACTGTTCCTGTTGCAAAGTATCAATCCATTGTCACTATTCATGCGTTTCACACAAATTCCATTGTGATCTTCTAACTCTTCCTTTCTTGATCTTCGCCCATCTTCTGCTGCCAGACATTAAGTTGACACTCACGTCATATACTACTTATAAGTAGCTCACACCACACATTTTTTAGGCTATCGATTCATTTCATCTAATTAAAATTTTGAAATCGTGATCCATTTTGCTGCCAACTGAATAGTTTACATGACATGAATTCATATGGCAGGTCTAAAGCTGTCAGTTTCTATTTCTGATATCACTGTCGGGAGATCCTATACTAGAATGAAACAATAGACATGAGTTCTTTCTTTGTTTCTGTAAGATATATCTCGCTTAATCAAAAACCAATGAAAACGAAAGTTGACATTAGGCTGAACTACTTAACATAAGGTTGAAAAAAACCATTTCACACTAGATCTGTGTTTGTTCCAAAAGAATTCCACGATACGGAGAAGTGAATTGAATTACTTGTTCACAAAAATATTTTCAAAACATTCTAGGATAAATAAGAGTCTCGTAATAATCATTTTATATCCACATCACTTATTAATACAAACATATCTAAATCTGTAATTAAATGTGTGTATTATGAAACATCAGATGAACGAAGAAATAAATTTCACGAAAATAATTAACTCTAATTGAAACAGTTTTTGGTGTTACTGTTATGATTTTGTGTCAGTAAACGATATGTGTATTATTGAATGTTCAAAATGACACAATTATCATATTCATAGATTTGAATAACCGCTAATAAGGTTATGAGTGTTACGCATGCACGTTAACGTGTCTGATTGATATGCTTGAAACTATTACGAGTTTGTTTTAGTCAGTAAACGAGAGCGAGGATCGAGGATCCGGCTACATGACAGGTTACCCTAATTCGAGTATCCCAACGCCCATTGAGTAAAAGAAGACGACTTGATATGAAGTAGAACATGTATTCTATAAACCTCCAGAGGGTACGAGGTTCGAGTCCAGAAGAGCATGAGGATCCCAGACTAGGGATCCGGGTCCGTGTCTGGATCATGAAACGTTACAGATAATGCATATTTATACATTTAGGTCGAATAGGAAACAACATTGAAGGCTGTGACATTGATATCTAAGACGATCATAAAATTGACCAGTAGAAATTAACCAATAGGAATTGACCAATAATTCTCTTAGGATATCTGATGAATACTATGTGCTTATGAATTATATCTTAAGTAAATGTATATTGGACTGTAAATGTGAGAATAAAAACCTAATGACTAGTTTCTTTTATGAATTCTATGTTTAAGTAACAGCAATGGTAATTTTATTAATCCTATTTAATTCATCTAAATTTTTCATACAAACAGTACATTCTTCTGTTAGCACTTTCTATTGTATTACTATCAGTTTGGTTGATAACAGAATCTGCTGATCCAGAAATAGTAAGTTTATTGATTAAATTTATACATAATCGACAGTGTTTTGAAATTATTTGGTAATATATATATATATATATTGTTTATGTGGGCTTCTAAAATTGTAATATTCGTTTATCTACTTAATTCATTACAAAAGTAGTCTAGTCTTAATAGCAAAAAAAGACTAACAATTCAACTCCCATTTTTTCTATGCAGAGTGACACAAAATTAGTGCGTGTTTATGAACTTTATTTTATTAATTTTTAAACTGAAAATTTCTAAAATATTATACGGTAAATAAAGTTTTTGTTTGTAATTGATCTGAATGAAGCAGCAGTAATACTTTTCTTCACAATGAACTTCATCAAAAGCTAGTTTTATAAGAAATTTTGTCAGGTTTCAGTCACATTTTAACAATGACAGTCATTGATGATCATCGGTCAAGTAATGTCATGAATTACTTCAGTTAAAAAGAAATGTAAACCAATGGATACCAACTTGATAGATAGTTCTATGGTTTAAACCTTGTTACGTATTCACGTAAACATGTCAATTTGATATGCTTTGAACTATTACGAGTTTACCTTAGTTGGAAAACGAGAGTGAGGATTGAGGATCCGGCGACATGATAGGCTACTCTAATTTGACTGTCCCAACTCCCATTGAGTAACAAACAGAAGAAGACTTGATATGAAGTAGAACATATATTCTGCCAGCATCCAGAAAGTATGAGGTCCGAGTCCAGACGAGAATCAGGATCTCGGACTAAGGATCCGGGTATGTTTTCGGGTTATTAAAAGTTACAGATAATGCATATTTATACAGTTAGGTCGGATAGGAACCAACAATGAAGTCTGTGACGTTGATATCTAGGAAGACCATAATATTAACCAGTAGGAATTGACCAATAGAATGAGACTTCCAAAAATAATTCTCTTAGGATATTGATGAATATCTTAACAAATCTGTATCATGGTGCCTGAAGGCCTCATTTCTTAATCGTCCCTATAGTCGTGAGCATGTATATGTTGTTGGAAAATCCTCACCTAAGATAAGAATAATTGTCAATTAACTTCCTGGCTGGCTTTGACAAGTTATCTGATTGGAGTCTTTTTGTCAATACTAAATATTTGATTCAGCGATCTCCATAAATTGTGGTGGTGTTTCGTTCTCTGAGCTGGCTGTTTTGGTTTACGTTTACGTGAACACCAATTAGCAGTCAAACGCCACGACAACTCTTCGCTTATATCAATACACACCGACAATTATGGACATACATTCGATTGGGACAAATGTGGGAATACTCTGGATAGGGCGAGGACAAAGAACACTAGAGAATTTTTAGAAGCTTGGCACTCAGGTCAATCAACAATCAATAAACACGTAAACATTGACCCAATTTATCAAGCAATCAGAAAAATCATAGGGAAAATAAGATCAAGAAACAGATCAAAAAGGGGATACAATCAAATCAAATGTGCAAACAATGACAGGTTTAAGGTCAACAGCAACCAATCAAGATCGAGGGTAGCAAAAAAAGAAGCTACAGGTCAAACGTGGAGAAATTCGAATGCTTCACTTCTATCTGAAGTTTGTTCTGATGATGTTGTTCAACAGAAGAACAATCAAAGCTCCACGACCAGCTCAGAGTTTACTCCACCATCTCAAAATCACCACCTTAAATGCATTTTCATGTTAGTTTTTCTCAGTTCTATTCTTTTTTACAAGAAACACTTGACTATAGCATCATTCTCAATCTATGTCAACATATTCTTCACAGGTAAACATCCCTATAAAAAAACAATTGAAATTATTAATTGCTAATTATCATTCTGTGAAGTCTAATGAAGCGGATAGTATCATTTTAGCATTTTTTATGCCTTTGGTAAGTATTTATTTTTTCTCTATCATGATTATTAAATTTTACGATGTTTGTTCTTTGTCCAAAAATAAAAAGAAAGATTTGAAACAGTTGGCTGAACAGTTTAACAATTCGAGCCTAACCATTGTGTTCACTAATCAAATTACGCTTTCTTTTAGTTTCTTGACTTCAGTAGGTGTTACGCATGTATGTAAACAAGTCAACTTGATATACTTGAACTATTACGAGTTTTCCTTTTGTCGGAAAACGAGAACGAGGATTGAGGTTCCAGTGACACGACATGCTACTCTAATCCGATTATCCCAACCCCCATATTGAGTGAAAAGAAGAAGACTTGATATGAAGTAGAGTCTGTATTCTACAAGCATTCAGAAAGTACGAGGTCCGAGTCGAGAAGAGAATCAGGATCCTAGACTAGGGATCCGGGTCCGCGTCCTGGTCATAGAACGTTGCAGATAATGAGTATTTATACATTTAGATTGAGTAGGAAACATCATCGAAATCTGTAACATTGACCAATAAGAAAGAACATTTGAAGTGACATTGAAATTCAGGATGATCAATAAGAAACAACATTTGACGTACGTGACATTGATATCTAGGACGATCATAAAATTGACCAATAGAAATTAACCAATAGGAATTGACCAATAGGTCTCTTAGGATATTGGATGAATATCCTAATAGACTTCACAATTGTGTTCACCGTTCAAATTACGCTCTATTTTAGTTTCTTGACTTTAGTAGGTGAAATCTTTTACTGTTACTTAATTTGACTGGATATCATAGTTTCTAGTATGGTTTAAAATGCTGAGATGTTGTTTTTTTGGAAAGTGAATTAGTGTATATGGGTTTGACATATCGTCTATTTTTTAGAAGATGTTTATCAGTCACTAGATAAGTTTCCTAGATTCTGATGATAAATTGTAACAACTGATGAAGTTCAGTCGTGTCAGAAGTGTGGTTGATAGCATTCGATGCTTTACATGCTACATCGTGAGTTGAATAGTGTTAGTAACGAATGACTTACAAGTTCTTGGTCAATGATTCAAAGGGATGTTACAAGACTTAAAGGTCATTTATTCCTGGTTAGATCTTAGGCTAAGCATTATCAGTGGATAAAATGTTATCTAAAACTCCTTGTTTTCAAATGGCATTTAGACTGATAAATAATCCCTGATAAATTTAAAACTAAAATATGAACATGATATAAATTATATACTTATAGTGGACGACCATCTCAGGACCAAACAACATTAGTGATTGTAAATTCACCCTAAAGCTAGTTTGTAGTTATCACCAGAACTAATCAGTTTGATGTGCCAATATTTCCGTGTGTGTGTGTGTGTGTGGTTGTACAAAAGGAGGAGACTTAAGGAGACTTAATTTCAAATAATCGACAACCTTTATATAAAAAGTTACAGTCAATGTCCAACAGTGTTAACATCTAACTTCATTCAATCCTTGATCATACGTAACTCTTCATCCATTGCCTTTCGTGGGTAACCAACCGTCTTACATTCGACATGGTTGAAATCCACTTGTCACGACTTCTCACTAGAACTTCAGAAACCAGTCACTAGAGAGTACATGATTGTTAATTAGAGAAGGGAATTTGTGAAGATTGTACTAGTTTCATGCACTTATTTATTTCCTCAGACTTCATTATTAACATGATTAAATGTTATTCTCTTTGTTGTATTACTCGAAATGTAAGCGAAGCTATTTTGTCAAATGTATATGTGGTATTAGACTCACTGGTCGATAAGCGTAACGAATACTTTTTACTTACTTACTCCAAATGGAACATAGGCCTCTGATCAGTATTCTCCAACAAACTCTGTCCGGAGCTTCCCTTTTCAGTTCTATCCAATTTCTGTTCATTCTTCTCATATCTTTCTCCATTTCTTGATGTGATGTGTATCTTGGCCTTCCTTTTTCCCTTCTACCTTGAGGGTTCCAAGTGAGGGCTTGTCTTGTGACGCAGTTGGGTGCTTTCCGCAGTGTGTGTTCTATCCATTTCCACCGCTTCTTCATGATTTCCTCCTCCAATGAAATCTGGTTTGTTGATGATGATATCTTTCCAAAGAATCCAAAGTATTTTGCGTAGACAACTGTTAATGAATACTTGTATCTTCTGGATGATGGATTTCGTAGTTCTCCAAGTTTCCGCTCCATACAATAGAACTGTCTTGACATGTGTATTGATAATTCTGACTTTGGTGTTGGATGATAGTTTTTTAGAGTTCCAGATGTTGTTCTATAATTTTTCCTTGTCTAAAATAAAGATCTATGATGAATAATTAAACTTCAAATCCATAAGTATACTGTGTGTTTAGAAGATTTGTGAACACTTTGTCAAAATGCTTGTTTTACCAATGTTCAGTTAGTCGCAAAAACTATGAATTGTTACGCCACATTGACAGTAATGTTTTTTGACCTAACAAACTATTCAGGATGTATCGTTAGTCTAAACTAAGTTTGTTAAGTCAATGTAATTCCAGTAGAGGCCTACAGAATAGTTGGCTAACTCATCTACCTTAAGGTTTTCTTCAAAAATAAGCATTATTTGAACCATTCTGCTGATAAATGTATTTTGGCTAAAACAAAAAATATTTATCATTCAATTTTTCTTGTTCCATTCTCAATTGATAACTCAAACATTAGATGTGGTGAGCTAAAACTTTTTCGACCTGCATCTCATCTTCCATTTCATCGTAAAAAGTGAGGTGTGTTGTTAAATTCAAACAAAAAGTAGTATGAACGATTGATTATCTGTTTTATAGTAATATATTTCAATTATATTTGCATGTTGAAATCATCAATCTACCAACATTAGAAACCTGGAAGCACTCAGATACGGCCGTTTCGTCTTGGTAATGTGTACAAACACTAATCTCCATAATATCAATTGAAAAATTTTAAAATGTGCTCATTGGTGTCTAGCTTCGTGAGAAAATTCTCGGTGTTCTATTGAGAAGACGAGAACAGTGAAGTTCAACTCTGTCGGATGTAGGCAGTGACTACCGAAGGCCAATGGGTGAGCTCACGCAAAATCTGTAGATCAATCAGAGTTAGACATTAACACCGTTGGATGTCATTGGCCCAGTGGTCCAGAGGTTAGGCGTTCGCGCCTAATACTGAAGGTCTCGGGTTCGAATCCTGTGAGGTGTAGAAGTTGTGAATGCGCACTGCTGATAATTCCCATACCAGGAAGAAACGGCCGTCTCTCAATGCTTCCAGATTTCTAATGATGTTCTAACGATGGTTGATTGACTGATCATTTCAATGTGCTCCAGAACTCTAATTCAGAAATTATACTTACACTCAAACATGATAAAGACTGTATTTTGGCTCGATAACATAAAGTGAATTACTTATTATTTTATTGATCATTCTATTCGATAGAGTCCTACTTTTTCTTATCATAAGCAATCAGACAATGAATATCGAATAGTTTTTTTCTAGAAAATTCTATTTCTTGAAATTTGGTATAGTTACTTTTGGTAAAAGTTTCATGTACACAGCTAATGATATTACTCTGTACCTAGAGAATTTTACCTAAAGTAAGTAATCACTGATTAATCTCACAAACAAGCAAACAAAAGTGTTTATAAACGAAACAATCACTTTTCAATGGTAAATAAAATAAATTATTTTTATTCTGTAGATTTTTATTCTTGACTATTGAATGATTTTTTCTTTTTATCTGAAATCTTCAAAAAAATTTTTAGCTTTCCTGCTGTGGTTTCTATAATGGTGATGATTTTGAAAAATCCCGATTTGTTCGTAACGAATCCTATCAGAACATAGAATATCCAGGTAAATTAAATGAATGAGATGTATAACGGTCAATACGTGTTGAATTTTTTTACTTATCAATTAAAAGTAGCTAATTTCACAAACTGACTGATATCATTTTGACAATTGTGGAAGATTAAAAACTTACTTACTTACTTACACCTGTTTCCCCCAATGGAGCATAGGCCGCTGACCAGTATTCTCCAACCTACTCTGTCCTGGGCTTCCCTTACCAGTTCTGTCCAGTTTTTGTTCATTCCTCTCATATATTTCTCTATTTCTCGGAAAAGTAATGTGTTCCTCGGCCTTCCTCTTTTCCTTTGACCTTGAGGGTTCCATGTGGGGGCTAGTCTTGTGACGTAGTTGTGTGTTCTATCCACTTACACCACTTCTTCCTGATTTCCTCCTCCACTGGAATCTCGTTTGTTCTCTCCCACAGTATGTTGTTGCTGATCATATCTGGCCAATGAGTCCTCAGTATTTTGCGTAGACAGGTGTTAATAAACACTTGCATCTTCTGGATGATGCCTTTCGTAGTTCTCCATGTTTCCGCTCCATACAGTAGAACTGTATTGACATTTATATTGAGAATGCTGATTTTGGTTTTGGTTGAAAGTTGTTTGGAGTTCCAGATATTTTTCAACTGTAGAAATGCAACCCTTCCTTTGTCGGTCCGCGCCTTCATATCTGCATCAGATCCACCTTTCTCGTTGATGATACTGCCTAGATATGTAAAGGTGTTAATGACCTCCAAGGCATCTCCATCAAGAGTGAGAGATTTGGTTGGTGCATATTGTGTCGCATCGTAGAACCTTGCTTTTTCCTTTATGTATGTTGAGACCTACTGCTCCAGTTGCTGCTGATACACTGGTCGTCTTCTCTTGCATTTGTTGTTGCGTGTGAGATAGAAGAGCCAGAGGCTTCATTTATCATCATCCATATTTCTACCCTTATATTACTTGAAATAGTGAATTTCACCTACTATACGCTTGAATCAAATCTATGACATCATTCAAACAAGAAACATACTAATCAGTATTTCAAGAAAATTTTATTTGTAAACATTTCAAAGACCGGAAATTTTATAAATTCATCATTTTGTTGTTATAGTCATTTGGTTTTAGACATTTTCACAAAAATCATCTGACTAAACAATTCTTTATCACATACCATTTTTCGAATCATGTTGATTCTGTTTATTATATGTGCGGAAAGTGTTCAAATTCTATCATTTGAAAGTAACTCTGTCTATCAGTGATATTAGCACTAAAATCCAATGAGAGAAAAAACTCGAGGTACAACTAAGTACATTGAGCTTATAAATGTGTGTGTGTGTTGATACAAAGAATAGTCAGATTTCATCTTGTCTTGTTTGCTAATCGATAATAAGACAGGATACATATAAACGTAACGAATAATTGGATTTCTTTATTGAGTAAACCATGAAATCCTGTAGTCGTGTTTCATCGTATTTAAGACTCATCAGCCAGATATATATATATATATATACCAGTGTTGATGTTTTCACTCGAATTCAAACAGTTTTCAGACAAACTTATTGAATTCAAGTAAATGCTAATCCGTTGAATGGATATCAATTTATACACACACTGGCTAATGTTATTTTCTTGCAACCGGCTCAGTGGTCTGACGGTTGGGGCGTTCGCGCACAATACCGAAGGTCCTGGGTTCGAATCCTGCGGGTTGCAGGAGTCGTGGATGCGCACTGCTGATGAGTCCCATACCAGGACGAAACGGCCGTCCAGTGCTTCCAGGTTTCTAATAGTGGTCTAACATTGATCGATTCATGGTTTCAATAAAACTTAATCTTAAAAATTCAAATTATCATTGTTCATAATAATTCAAAAACATAATTTCTGTATTACTACTACTGACTAATCAATTGAATGGTGTGCGTTTTATTGTTTGTCTTTTTTACAGATATTCAATATCCAATTACATGTTGTCAGCTACATTTACAATTCCGTGTTAAATATCTTACATGTCCACAACAATTCACTGAATCCAATAGTTTTGTACATGTTGGTTGTTGGAATAAATTAAACGATTTAATTTTATGCATTCGACAAGCTATGATATTAGTTATCGTGGGTAAAATTGGCATATTGGTAAGTTTTAAAGTTTAAAAAAACAAAAAAAAAATAATTATGATGATAATTGATACTTGAATCATTTTATAATTTAAGCCTGTACAAGACTGTCAATGTATTGTATTGTAGGCGAATGCCTAACCATCGGACCACTGAGCCGGTAACTAACGGTGTTAATGTCTAACTTGATCAATTCACGGAGTTGCGCAGCCTCATACACAGTTTTCGGTAGACACTGTCTACACCCGACCAGGTTGAACTTCACTGGTCACTATAACTCGGAGAAGATTCCTCACGGAGCTAGTCACTAATGAGCACAGGTAATTTGCATTACGGGGTTGTTGTGAAGATTGTTAAGTTACACATTTTTTGAAACCATGAATCGATCAATGTTAGACCAACACCATTAGAAACCTGGAAGCAATGGACGGCCGTTTCTCCCTGGTTAGGCGTTCGCCTACAATACTGAAGGTCCTGGGTTCGAATCCTGCGGGGTGCAGGAGTCGTGGGTGTGCACTGCTGAGGAGTCCCATACCAGGACGAAATGTATTATATGTTTATAGATTTAATAATTTTTCAAATAGATTAAGAAAAAGCTTATGTAAGATTTATTTTTTGTCCTGCAGATGTACTTCTAGAACTAACTGTAAACGCAATATTGACGAGCACAGAGTCTGTGGGAAAGCTATATATAATCAAACACAAGACCGCTTTGTGGTTTTCAAATTTATCTGTCTCTAAACATAAAAAACAATTAAATTAGTACAATAATTGAGGAAATCACAGTAGTTATCAAGTGAAACGAGCAAACGTACCGACCAATATTGCGTGTCTTATGGAAATGAATACAGATATGAGTCATATCAATAATAATAAGATAATAATCTCCTTCAGTTAGTAGGTTATTTACAAAAAAAGAAAGTTTACAGACACACACAGATCAGATCACGTGATGGATGATCGCTTAAACCACAATTTGATTGGTTAGATATAACATAACTACAATTAGTTATGGAAATAACTAACAGCTTACTATTGTATAGATGCTTTGAAAATGTCTAAACATTATTATTTGTTGGGAACACCAATTACAGCTTGTTGTAATGAGTCTGTGAATATTAAATTATAGCGAACGATGAAGCAACAGATAATGTAATTTGATTATGATTAGCATCAATTAGTCTAGGAAAATGAAAATTTCTCTAGACAGTTCTCTAAACAATTACTTCTGATGGGTCCCGTACCAGGACGAAACGGCCGTCTCTCAGTGCTTTCAGGTTTCTAATGCTGTTGGTCTAACAATGATTGATTGATAATTTCAAATGTGTAAAAACACCAATCTCCATAACTCTAATTGAAAATATCGTAAAATGTTCTCACTAGTGACTAGCTTTGTAAGGGAATTCTCGGAGTGTAAAGACGTGACCAGTGGAGTTCATCTCTGTCGAATGTAGGCAGTGACTAGCAAAGACAAATGGGTGAGTTGGCGCCAAATCTGTAGATTGATCAGAGTTAGACATTAACACCTTTAGATGCCGGCCCGGTGGTCCGACGTTTGGGCGTTCGCGCACAATACCGAAGGTCCCGGGTTCGAACCCTGCGAGGTGCAGAAGTCGTCGATGCGCTGATGAGTCCCATACCAGGACGAAACGGCTGTCTCTCAGTGCTTCCAGGTTTCCAATGGTGGTCTAACAATGACTGATTGATGATTTCAAATGTATAAAAACACTAATCTTCATAACTCTAATTAAAAAAGTTACTTTTAAGTTGAGTACAATGGAAGAGTATGATTTTCGTAGAATAGATTCATTATGACTTGACGTCGTGAAAATTTAGAAATTCAAGGAGCACTGAACAACTGTCTGATTCCAATATGAGATTGAAAATCTCTTACTACACAACATTCTCACAAAAACATAATCCAGGATGTTCATTATCTTGAGACAGTGTATTAACAATCAAAACCGTTAAGCTGTCGTTTGGCGGTACATACTGTGGTGCGCGCTACTGATAAGTAGTATATGACGTGAGTGTCAACATAATGTCTGGCAGCAGAAGATGGGAGAAGATCAAGAAAGGAAGAGTTAGAACACAATGGAATTTGTATGAAACGCATGAATAGTGAAATGTCAGACAATGGATTGATGATGGATGGAAGATTTGCAAATTAACGGTTTACAATATGGTTTTCCTATTTTACTGAGTAACTCTGTAATTTGCGATAAATACAATTCGGCCGCCCTCACCTGTGTTCTCCTTCACTACACTACTACTGAATTCAATCAATGAAACATGACTATCACTCAAAATTATCAGCGACAAATATTTCAGCCGACAGAATATCTGAGTTCTATCGTTCACAATTTCACTGTCAAACATTAAGCACTCACGTTGAAATAAGTCACTAGTGAGCTAACTAATTTATGACATAGGTGTACGTACCTACATTGAGATCAGCTCTTGTTGAATACTACTACATCCAACTCTACCTAGAACAAATCAACTTGATTTTTATAATTATTTGATTAATTGAAAAAACAAAAAATTATTCACAAAATTGTTACTTTTCTTACAAATTTTTTTTCATTATTTTTAAAGTTTATTCTTTCAGGGCTTTCATCGTTAGAAATCATTCCAAGAAAAACAACTTTTGTCTACCCTTAAATTATATACATATATACATTTACACATATACAGTATAATGATGAAATACTTTTGAAAACAAAACACTTGAATAGAAAAAACAATTTATTGTTGTACTCATAGATTTGATTGATATTAGATTGATATTGTATACTACTTATATATCATTTTTATATGGTATAATCTATTTTAGAAGGCTTCTTTTATATATATATACGTAGTGAGAAGACTGAGGTAGGCGCGGATTGTATTATACAAATTTACACTCTGAGTTAATTAAAAACGAAAACATTACATTGAATACTCACTCTATTTGCACATCATCTTTGAGTCGTGACTTCCAACACTCCATTCTTCTTCTTCCATTCCTGTTGTTGTTGCTTCCTTTCCTTCCTGTTGGTACTCCATTTACTTCTTGCTTCTGCTCCATTTGCTTTCCGTTTTCCTCTTCTGACCGTGGTGAGACTTCTTCTTTCACGTCCCCCTTCTTATACTACTTATATCGTTCGTATAAGTAGCACACAACGCAGTAGTAAGTTAGATCATATTAACGACTCTATACACATGAGTTAACTGATAGTGACAGTCAAGAGAAGAGATCGTGAATAATAAAATGTCCTCAAAAGTAGGAACAATAAGATATATGGAGTTAAAAGAAAGCTTATGATGAAGGGAATATATATATATATATATATATATATATATATATATATATATATATAAAACGGATAGCCCAGTGAATTATTAATTATATAAATTAAATTATTGACAATAATAGTTCATAAATTGGTTGCCTATCTTATTGTTTGCTTCATTCTTTATCCGCGCATAACACCTTATCATTGTGCCTTGCGATGAACAATCATCGATATCAGCCTAGTTCTTCACATCACATTTATATAAGTATCTACTGATGAAATGTGTGCGTAATTTCATACGAAAATGAAAGCTTTCTTGAGTATTAGCTCGGCTCTTTTGGAGCACTTAGTGGGCAGCCCTTACCGTCGGAAATGGAAATCCGTGAGGTAAGGGAGGTGTGACATTTTTAGGGTCGACCTTTTCTAACCGCTTCCTTCCTTGTGAGAAGGCAGCGTCGCTGCAGTTGCTGGTTGTCTGAGGGAAATACCTTACTGCTGTCATACCCCTCTGCAATCAGCAGTACGACATCGCCCTCAGACCTTGAGTAGCTGTTTTTAGTATCGTCATTCTCCAATCGACCTGCCTCACATGGTAGAACCTTCAGAGACATATGTTCCAGCTAATATAGCTTATTTGGGTGATCACGATAGGCAAGCCCGACCACCACAACAAGTTAGCAGCTGCGGTCGGGGACGGATACAGAAAGCTCGATTGGCTTTTGCCAGCTTGCGTCACTTATGGCGTAGGCTAGATATCCGTTTGCTGATCAAAGGATGAGTCTACTGCGCAGCAGTTCGCTCCATCATACGTTATGGCTGTGAAACATGGCCAGTCAGAGTAGAAGATATTCGTAGGTTACTGGTTTCCGATCATAGGTGTCTTCGAAGTATTGCTCGAGTATCATGGGACACCCGAGTAAGCAATGCTGTCGTTAGGAAACGGGTGCTAGGTAAGGATGTCAGGTCAATAGATGAAGTAATGAAACTTCATCAGTTGAGGTGGTTGGGACATGTGTTACGTATGCCTAAACACTGACTGCCTCGTCGAGCTATATTTTACGATATAGGAAAAGGTTGTAAGAAAGCTAGGGGTGGCCAGACCAAAACATGGCACAAATCCATGAAGTCACTGACAAGTGTACTAACTCATGTCGGTTGGTGTCAACTACCTGATTGGGGTCCGCAAAATTGTAATAATCGATGGTTGGAAACCCTGAATGACATGGCTGAAAATCGTTTGAATTGGCGCCGTGTGCATATATTCTTTGTGTTCTCTCAAGTCCTAACCTTATGAGTTCTTCATCACCTCTATCTTTCTCTTTCTAAATTTACCTCACTGAATTATACTTGAGTATTATTTTCGAACCCTAATCTCTCCGACTACTGCTTATACATTTACTACCTCTATTACTATGAGATTTGAATTGACAATTATATCTGTGTGCTAATATGGTATGGCAACTTGAACTGATGTACTTACGAACAAAGTTCTATGCTGTAACTGACTAACTGACTGACTTTCATGCGAATAAGGCTTGTTTTTCATCTCTTCTTATCGTGTAATTAAGAACATTTTGTGAAAGAAAAAAAGATTTAAACAGAAAATGCACATTTGAATGATTCAAATTCACATGATTTGTATTAAAACGAATGTGATTTTTTAATCAAACCTAATTAGTTTAGGTAAATTTTGATAGTTCCAGTTGAGAATGTTTTTTTACTTGATGTAGTTAGTTG